ACATATTAACATTCCATCTACCTTGATACCTTCTTTCCATCTCTTGGATGTCTTGGTGGAATCTTTCTCCTTGCTCCTCCTCACTTATGGCTCCAAGATTCTCAGGAAAAGAATCAAAATGAGCATTCAGGAAGTGTACTTTTAAACTCATGTTACAACCCAACTCTTTGCAACTGGTAAGCATATTTTAAACGACTACGTGATAATTTTCTACTTTTCTATTTCCCAAAAATCCTACAACCGCTGCAAAATTCACCCATGCAGCCTTCTCTTTTCTTGTCATCGTTTGTTGAAAATCAGCCGATTTCATCATCTTTCTTATATCCGGACTTGTGAAAATACCTTCCTTTATTTTTGCATCAGATAATTTATCCAATAAGTAGTGGAAGCATTTTCCATTCTGATCAAGGGCTTTGATGAATTGCTTTATCAATCCTAATTTTATGTGGAGGGGAGTTAAAAGTATTTTTTTTGGATCACACAAGGGTTTTTTGAGAACATTGTGTGATCCTGGCTTCAGAGACATGCGAATTGGCCACTTAGATTCTTCCCAATGACATGTAGTAGCTCTACTATTCCACAAACAAATGTAACATGGGTATTTGGTATACCCCGACTACTGTCCAAGAAGTATAGTTATTACTTTCAAATCACCACATATGACCCATTTATAATCTTCATTGTGGCAGGGAATTTCGGGGGTGTTGACCGCGCTCCGAGTTCTTCCGTCACAAGGCCTGTTTGGCTCTACCCCCGATTATTTAGGGCGCCAGACCGTCGGCTGATTACGGCGAATGTCGGGGGTAAGGTAGTCGGGTTGGCACGTATCCCGGTCTGCCTAACGGCGACTGCGCAGAGTGGGCAAACGGGGATACGTGTTGTATCTTTACTGCAGGCCTTGGTGTCCAACTCTCGGTTCCAATTTTCCTCCTTAATTAGGGTATGCCGGCAGCTCAGGTGATGGCTCCTTGATTCAGGTCGTGTATACGTTCGAAATCGCGCGTATGTTACCTATCGAGTGACCCGAAAATATAGCGAATTAGTGATACCCGATTATGACCGATCGCGGCTGAAAACCACTAACATACAGTCGAGGTGGGATATCAAAGTAAATTATGTATATAGATAATTAATCACTTTATTAATATTTTAATAATTTACAAGTAAGAGGTCGGAGTGAATAGGGTCGGTAAAAATCTGAATAACTATAAGTCGGTAAGGATACAATTTAATCGGAACGTTAATGATTTTCCGGTCGGTCTTCGGTTAATAAAGAGAGAGGGTCAGCGCAAATAACTCAGTCGCGAATTTCCCTTGTCGAATCTTACCGCTCACACTCGGTTCATAAAATGGCGGAAAGGTCAGCGCGAATATCCTCGATCTCAATTTTCCTGGGTTGATCCTAACGCTCACATTCGGTTCGCGAAATGGAGGGAAGGTCAACAAAAATAGCTAATCAAGACAATTTTATTCGATTCAACCTACGTTTGTAATAAATAACTAACGAAGGGTCAGCGCGAATCCTAACTCGTAATTTTTATTCGTACTATCTAACACTCAATAAAAGTTAACGAAAGGTCAGCGCGAATCCTAAATCGCAACTTTCTTTCGTAAAACCGAACACTTAATAACTAGTAAACGAAAGGTCAGCGCGAATACTAAGTCGCAATTTTCTTTCGTAAAACGGACTTAATAAAAGTTGACGAAAGGTCAGCGCGAATACTAAGTCGCAATTTTCTTTCGTAAAACGAATCCTTAATAAAAGTTGACGAAAGGTCAGCGCGAATACTAAATCGCAATTTTCTTCCGTAAACCGAACACTCAATTACTAGTAAACGAAAGGTCAGCGCGAATACTAAGTCGCAATTTTCTTCCGTAAACCGAACACTCAATTACTAGTAAACGAAAGGTCAGCGCGAATACTAAATCGCAATTTTCTTCCGTAAACCGAACACTCAAATTATATTCACTTAATGGCGGACAGGTCAGCACGATCCGGTAGGCACCGGCGTCGACGGATCCACGCGTCGCGACGACCTACTGCACTGAACGATTATTCCTGCACTCCGCGATTAAATAAAATGAGTGGCACTTTGCCTACTTACGATCTTTTCCTTGCGGTTTAGCAACAAAATTGGCAAAAGAAAATTGGAAGGCGTCTAACGCAAATCGTCCTGCGATATATTAGCTAATGAGGCTCCGTCCAACTAGAGATCCAGTGGCAAAATGGACGAGAATCGGCTTCACGCGGTCAAAGATCGCTTTTCTTCTCCTCTTTTCGAGAAGAAATGTTATTATTGGTCGGTATGCTAATTCGGATATCGGTAGCGCCCTCCGAATATTTTATTATTGGTCCGTATATAAATTAGAAGGATACAGCGCCCTCCTTAACTCTCCTACTTTCGTCGTTATTTACCCTCTCTCACCCCCCCACTAAGGTAGCTATCGTTAGTTGTGGAAAAGATCTATCCCTACTCTTATCTATTTGTCTATCCGGACGGAAATCAAATTTTATTCTAATTTGCTCATTGGTCGTGACGTCACTAGCTAATTTTGTCAGAAGTTCGAATTCGGTCAGTTAAATTATTATTTAAATCTAAAGGGGGTAGTTGTCGCTTGCTATCATAATAGGGGTGTCGGCCGCGTGCGAATTTTACAATTCGATATTTGTTCCACGCTCATTATTTTCCAATTTATAATTTTAATTTTAATTGTCGGAGATACGTATATAATATACGCCGTTTCATTTGTAGCGCCCTCATCTTCGCATTTGCATATTATTCTATCTATTATTTTATATCGTCTGTCTCGCTCGCTCTTGTTTCGTCTATTTCGCTCGCTCTGTCTCGCTCGCTCTGTCTCAGTCTGTCTCGCTCGCTCGCTCTCAGTCTGTCTCGCTCGCTCGCTCTCAGTCTATATCGGCGCTTCAAGATGGGGGCGCTCCCGTGTCGGTTCTGTGATGTTCCTCTGGGTGTTTGTGTGTGTGGTTGCTGTTTTTCGTGTGTGTGGCGCTCAGGATGTCGCCGATGGTGTTCGGCAGCCCGACACAGCTGATTGCCGGCTGCCACTTCATCGGCGATTTTCTGCTCGCCCCAGGAGTGTCAGTGCCTCGGGAGTGTTAGTGTTGGTGTCTGGAAGTGTAACGGATCTGCAAGTGTCATCAACATGCATTTCCGTTGCATTTCCCAGTTAAGTTTGCCTTTTTCTTTTGCCGGTCGGCAACACGTGGTCGGGAGTGTATATGAGTGAGTGTGTGCGTGCGCTCTCTTTTTCTGTGGTGCGCTCCTTTTTTTTTCTGTCTGCTCTTTGAGCGTCCGTCGGATCGCATTAGACAGTTTGTTTCATCCATATCTCCGGCGTGGTCGTTTGGACATAAAAAAAAGTAATTGTTCGGTATAGGGGGCGTTTAACTTTATTTTATACAACCGGTTACGGGGCGGCAAGGGACGGGGATGGCCTTTCTGAGGTGTTGCAAATAATGCAGCACTCAGGAAAGGCCTTGTAATGTACCACATTACAGAACCCTCCACTAAGCCGGTACACTACCACGTGTACCGCTAGTTTGCTTTGTTCCCTTTTCTTGCCGTCTCGTTCTCAGTTATCGTCAGATATACCAAAATCTTACCTGGTGGGGTTGTCCCCCTTGGTCCGTAATCTGTTCTGGTCGGAGTCCGGTGCGTGCTGGGTCAGCTTGGCTGCATCCTCCTTTCTCCTTGGTCCATTAAGTCCAGTGGCTGGGTCGGCAAGGATTGGTCAGGAGGGGTTGACAATTAAGACGCAGGATGATCAATTTAAGCCAGGGCTTGGCCCTGGCATTTGTTACGTCGGTATAATAAAAAAAAAACTGGCGGTCCGCCGGTGGTCAATGATACCCACGCCTGCGGGAGCGATCGCGCCTCTCCATTTCCTCCATTTCTTGGAGGGCACGCTGGAGCTGTTAGAGCTCCCTCAGGCGTAGGTCCCGGTCTCCTCTTCGTCGGAGGTCCCACGGTTGTGTGACCTCCGGAGCAGTTCCCTCACCCGCTCCTCCGCCGATGGCCTGGCGGAAGAAGCGGGGGGTCCGGCGCGGGGTATCGCTCTGGTGTCAGCCGTCGGCCTCTCCCTCGATGGCCTTTCCCGGTATGGAGCTCGGCCCCGGGTTACCTCCTGGTAGGACGGTGGAGGGTCCTCCGTCTCCCGAGGGTCCGAGCTCAGCTGGGTTGCCTGATCTTGATGGCGGGGCTCGTGTATGGGGTTCCGGTCCCAACCGGACCCGGAAGAAGTGGACGCTGGTCTGTCCACTTCGTCCCACCCACTCCGGCGGCTGGTGGTCGGTCGAGGTCTCGGTGGAGGGATGTTGTTCCCCACCGGGTTGTTCGAGCCCGAGGAGCCGTGTCGGCGGTGGTATGCCTCGGCACACCTCGGGCAGTCGAAAACCTCGACCCCCCGCCGGCCACAATTTCCGCAGAACGTTCCATCTTTGGGACGGGAACAGTTCCCGAAATTGTGGTCGGTCTGCCAACAGTTAAAGCATGCTCTGAGGGGGGGATCAACCGTCGGGTCAGTTGGGATTTCCCTCAACTGCCCGAACCCAGCTCCGGTCCGGCGAGGGAGTCGACCTCAGGATGGTATCCTGGCCGCAGCAGCTGGTCGTGTTGCTGCGCGGCTGGTCAGGGGTCCAGGGAGGTCATCCTCCGATCCTTCGGAGGATAGATCTCCTGCACCCACCAGATCGTCCAGCTGCAGGTGGCGCCGCGGATTGTACTTGCGGCGCTTGCCGGTGGCCGTCCGGTAGTGCAGGCCTTGGACCTCTGGACGGTCGACGGGATCCATCCTGGTTGTTGCTATTGGCCGGGTGGTGGTGGTTCGGCCAATTGGGGTCGAGGTCACAGGCAACCAGCCTGGGTGACCTCGACTCCTTGTGGCCGACGGCTGTACGGTGGTGGCTGTGGAGGTCGATGGCTGTCGGTGGCTGGTGTGTGGTCGAGCGGTGCTGGTGGTGGATGGCGTGGTGGTGGTTGCTAGTGGTCGGTCGGTGGTGCTGGAGGTGGATGGTCGGTCGGTGGCTGCGGTGATGGATGGTCGGTCGGTGGCTGCGATGGTGGGTGGTCGGTCGGTGGCTGCGGTGGTGGATGGTCGGTCGGTGGTGTTGACGGACGGCTGAGCGGTGGTGGCGGAGATGGTGGAGGTGGACGATTTTGTTGTCCCTGGGCCTCGGAGTGAAGGGGGGGAGCCGGTGGTCCAGTTGGTTGGGGGTTGATGGTCTCCCCCTTCCCAGCTGGTACTGACTCCGTTCCCCTGCCCAGGTAGTCCTCCAGCTCCTTCTCCGCTTGCCCGTCTAGGGACAGCTGGGACCCCTTTGAGGTGTCCGAACAATGGGATTTTAAGGTCCCATGTTCGGACAGAGTCTCAGCTGTCCTGCCGTCCGTCTGGTCTGATTCCATCTCCTCCTGGATGGCGCGGACCACCTCCATTCGCCGGCGTTCCTCACGCCTCCAGTCCGACTGAGGGATGCGGGCCTGGAACGTGAGGGCCCAGCGAAGGAGGCGCTCCCTCTCTTGGCCCTCCGGGAGTGGTTGTGGTGGCTCCTCCTGTTCCACCACTTCCATGGCCTCCAGGCGAGCCTTCTCCTGCTCGATTTCTTCCACCATGTCCTGGATATAGCAGGCCGACGGGTCTTCTGTCGGGGGGGGGCTCGATGATGGGCTGAGCCCCTACCCTCTCCTGGTACCCAGGCATGGTGGCCAATGCCTGCAGGCGAAGGCTCTCCTCATGGCGGTCGGTCTCCGGGGCCTGAGCTGGTGTGGCTTCCCGCTTCCTGGTCCCCGTGATGGTCCTGGGGACGGTGGACAGCGGGATCTTCACTGTAAGACTCAGGCCCTTCTTCTTCGCTATGAGGATCCTTGGGGCCATGGTAGATCTGAAAATTAAACAGGTTAGTGCAACGGTCTTTAAGGCAGTATCGGGACAGTACATTGCATGCACTTATCTGCTGAGGGGCGTAGCTTAGTCGTCGACTACACCCCCCACTAAGCCTGGAGAGGCTAGCCTGTCCAGGTGTGGGACAGCACATCTAGAGGTCAAACACCAATCGCCGCGGAATTATTCCCCACGCCACAACCGTGTTAGTACGCGAGTTAAACCCATGAGTCGGATAATACAGGGTATGGTCAGATCGGTCAGATTATCTATGTTCTCTTCATTTTAGTTTTATCTAAGGTCATAATTATTTTTGTCAGGGTTCTTGAATCGTTTCAGTTGTTCAATATGAACTTTACCAACTTTTTTTTTTGTCAGTGTCTCGATGGTAAATACTGTATCTGAAAGTTTATCTAGCAATTTGAAAGGTCCTTCATATTTTTCGCTTAATTTGGAACTTATTTGCTGCATTTGATAGGTGATGTGTTTTGATCAATACTAGGTCTCCGGTTTTATATTCGGTTAACTTTCTTCCAGTATTGAATCGGTCGGCCATTTTCTCATGCTTTATCTCTATGTTTCTTTCAACTAGTTCGTATAGGTCTTTTAATCTTTTAAGCCTTTCTGTCCATTCTTCTGGTTCTAGTGTCAGTTCTAGTTCGTTTGATTCTACTTTTCTTCGTAAACTTTTTATTAGTTTCGGTTGTCTGCCGTAATTCAGGAATGCTGAGGATGTTTGAGTAGCTGATTGTATTGCCGTGTTCATGGCGTGTCGGAACTCATTGATGTGTTTATCCCAATTCCTGTGGTCATTTTCAACAAACATTGCTATCATAGTTTTTATCGTTCTATTACTTCTTTCGACGGGGTTAGCTTGTGGATGATATGGGACTGTCGTGTTGTGTCTGATACCGTATTCCTGTAACATGCCGTCTAAGTGTTTATTGACGTATTCTTTCCCATTATCGGTCAGTATATAGTCGGGTGTTTCCCATCTGAATATGACGAGTTCTTCTAATGCTTTCGCAACGTTTTTCCCGTCTGCAGAGCGTACTGGTTTCATTTCTACCCAACGTGTGAAGAGGTCTTGGAAAACTAAGAGGTATTTATTTTGCGTTTTGCTTCGGGGAAATTCCATTGTGTCAATTGCTACTATTGCCCATGGTCGGTCTATTTTCCGTGGTTTCATAAGGCCTTGTTGGCCTAGTTGGCTGGATTTATATCTTTGACATAGCGGACATCTTGTGACGAAGTTGTAATTGTCAGTATACATTCCTCGCCAGTAATATTCGGTACTAATTCTCGTATACGTTTTCTCTATACCCAAATGTCCCGCTACCGGAAGGCAGTGTGCGTTTTTCATGATCTCCATTTGGTATTCGTCAGATACTACCAGTTTCCATTCCGTTTCTCCATTTGTTAACGGGTCCATAATCGAATCTGGTCTGTTGTAGTATAACATGTCGTCTTCGATTTTCCAGTCAGGGTATTTGTCTGGTTTTTCTTTTACGTCTCTACGTTTTTTCAAGTACCAGTTGTCTTGTACTGTGCTGAAGGCTGCGATTTTGTTAGCCTCTTCGTCCATTCGTGACAGGGCATCAGGTACTTTATGCATCGTGCCTTTACGATGTTTAAAGGTCACGCGTTCTTACATCAGGTCGCATATCCATCTTCCTAATCTACCTTTTGGTTCTTTTATGTTAAACAGGTATATTAGTGCTGAGTGGTCAGTAATAACTGTATAGTCATATCCTTCAAGGTACGCTCTTAGTTTCTTGATAGCATATACTATTGATAATAACTCTTTCTCTGTTACTGAGTAATTTCTTTCTGGTCCGGTCAGTGTTCTGCTAATATATGCTATTGGATGTTCGCCATCATCAAAGTTTTGAGTCAATACGGCACCAATTGCAAAATCGCTTGCATCTGTCTGAATCGTGAATGGTCGGGCGAAGTCTGGTCTTGCTAATACTGGAGCTTTTGTTAATGCTCGTTTCAGTTTGTCAAATGCTTCTTGTTGGTCAGTTTCCCAGTTGAATACTTGATGCTTCTTTAGAAGTTTTTGTAACGGTACCTTTATTTCCGAACAATTTTTTATGAATCTCGAGTACCATTCGACCATTCCCAGGAAGCTACGTAATTGTTTTACCGTTCTGGGTACTGGAAATTCTAGTACTGTTTTAGTTCGGTCTGGGTCAGGTCGTAATCCTTCTTGGTCTAGCAGAAAACCTAAGTAGTTTAAACGAGTACAGCCGAATTCGCATTTTTTCGCGTTTATCTGCAGTCCAGCTTCATTAATTCGGCGTAGTACTAATTCTAAATATTTTGTATGTTCATCGAAGGTTTCAGTTGCTATAATGATGTCATCAAGGTATGGAAATACTTGAGGTTCCCAGTCAGGTCCAAATAATGCGTCAGCTAATCGTTGAAAGGTCGCTGGGGCATTGACGAGTCCGAATGGCATAACTATGAACTCCCACAATCCTTCACCTGGGCTTGCAAAAGCTGTATATTCGCAGCTGTTTTCATCTAGGGCTACTTGAAAGTAGGCCTGTTTAAGGTCAATTTTGCTAATATATTTGGCGTGTGTTATTTGTCTAATATTGAATCCATGTTAGGCAGTGGATATGCGTCTTTCCTTGTAACCTTATTCAAGTCACGAAAGTCAATGCAGAACCTCCAGGAACCATCGTTTTCTTATCATTACTGGAGCGCTACGCCATGCACTTTTGGACGGTCGGATAATGCCCATTTCGTACATTTTCCTTATTTCAGTTCGTACTATTTTTTGTATTGCGAGTGACATTCGTCGTAGTCCTTGTCTTATTGGTTGGCTATCACCTACGTCGATTATGTGTTTTACTATCGGTGTTCCTCCTAGTTTGTCAGTCATAGATTGTATTAAACGGTCCGTTATTTCTTTGATATGTTTTGTTTGGTCAGGTGTAATTTCTGTGAGGCCAGCGCATTCTGCGTAGAAAGCTTCTCGTTGTGTCAGTTGTCTAGGTTGTAGATGATGCCGTTTACCATTATGTACTCTCCCTTTTCTTTCTTGGAAGAGTATGAGCATGTTCCATTGCGTCAGAAAGTCTAGACCTAAGATAATTGGCGGTCCAGGAATGTTTTTCATTGCTTTAAATCTGAATTTCTGCGTATGTCCATCGAAATCAATCTGTAGGGGAAGTTCGCCTATGGTTTTCTCTGTTTTTCCCGTGATTCCTTGGATTGTAGTGGAACTAGGCGTTAGTCTTTCTTTGAATCTGTCTGTTATTTCCGGTCCTACCAGTGAGAGTTCTGCTCCTGAGTCAACTAAGGCGTCATATGCTATATTACCAATAATAATCGGTATGAAACACCTACTGTCTAAGCTTAACCCTCCTATCGACTGTGGAGGTGCGGTCAATATCGCTGTCATGTTTTTGTCTTTATTCTCATCTAAAGTTTTCTGTTGTCTTTTATCAGGTTCCTTAGCTGTTGGTAGGTCTGATTGTGAGGGTATTGACAGTTCTTCGTCTTTTGTTTGTATTACCTCTTCCTTGTCTAGAAATTTCACGGTTTTTATTATTCCTTTAGGCATTCCTTCAGGGTGTTTTTCAGGTACGACAGTATCTATTTTGTCTGGCATTTTGATTATTTGGTCTGTTATTGTTGGAATCTGATGGTCAATGTCGTTCATTACTATTACTTTTTCAGCTGGTGGAAATGTTAGGTTTTCCACTGACTGTTCGCTGTTTTGTATTTCCCCATCCATGTCAAATAGTAACGTCTCTTGATCCTTGAGGCGTTTTAGCAACTTATTGAGTGGTTCTTCATCAATCTAGGATAATTCTTGTCCATTAATTGGAGTGGTATGTCTGTCGGTGCAGTTTTCATCCTCCTCTGATGTCTGGTCGTTTATCCTTTTATCGTCCTCTGATGATATTTCCCATATTGGGCGAGTATTTTCTTCTGAGTCCGTATCAATTTCTATATGGGAGGCCATTTTCATGGTTAGTTCCCCTATGTGATCATGTTGGCCCATTATTGGGAATCGGGGGGAAGCAGTGGGCTCGTCTGCTCCCCACCTAGCGCGTTTCCCAACAACTCAGAACGAATGTGCTGGCAAAATTTGTAAAAGTCAAAAGGTGAGCCTATATTTTTACAAACTTGGCAATGTGTCTGTCTTATTCTTGGTCCTGTTTTTGGGAATAAAGATTCTCTTTTTGGGCAGGATGCTGCATAATGACCTGGTTGGTAACAGAAGAAACAAGGGTTCTTTGGGCATTGTCGGTAGTTATGATCACCTTGGCAGCATTTGCATGGTTCTCTGTTTTGTCTTTCGGTCTGATTATCATTATTCATTGTATTATCATTATCTGTTTGATTGTTTTGGAATGGTATCAGTGAGGGTAGATTCCATCTTGTTTCCACACCATTCGATGTCGGTATTTGTTGACCTTGGCTGTAATTTTGTCTCTGTTGGTTCCGGTTGTTCATTCTGTCATTAGTCTGATTGTTATTTGCTGTCTGTAATTTTTCTTGGCTTGTCCATGGTCGTTCTTGTTTGACTGGTGGGAAGCCCAAGTATTGGTGAGGTCTTTGGTATGCTGCAATTTGTGCCATCATGAGTGTAGCATATATATTTCCTTGCTTGGTCTGTTGTTGTATATTATTTTGTTTTGTTTTATTTGTCTTGTCTTTTCTATTATTATTTTGAGGGTTTTCACGTGTATTATCAGGTTTTGTTTCAATT